GAGTCTGAGGGCCTCCCCAAGCCTGCGGGTTCTGGGGGATGGGGGGTAGCCAGGGGCTCAGTGCGGGAGGCTGGGCGCAAGGTTGTGGGTGGCCCCCAGCACAGCGACCTTCAGAGTGGAGCCCTTAGGGTGGGCCGCCTTACTCTGTGGGGGGCTCTGTCTGGAAAGAAAGCGGTTTCTGGTCCTTCCAAGCCCTCGTGCCCACCAGCCACTGCCTGTCCCCTCAGCTCAGGCTGACCTGGGCTCTCTCCGCCCTGGCCGTCCCCGCAGAGCCACCCCTGTGCTGGAAGTACAAACGTCCTGTTGTGCCCTTCAGCCGGTGATGCCTCTAACCTTGGTTTCTGCGGCTGGTCAGCCCCTGGTTCTGCCCCATGCGCCCACCAGACGCAGCTCCTTCGTCCTAAGAGGCCGCCCTTGTCCCCTCCCCAGCCGCCTTCCTTCTCCCCAGTCTCGGTTCCCCTCTTCTGTCTCCACTGCAAACCACGGTCAGGTCATTTGGGTCAAAAATGCCTTGTTCAACAAATGTTCTCCGGGGAAGCAGAGAATCGCTGGTTATGGTTTAGAGCCGTTTCCCAAGAAATGAAACTTCACTTGCACGGCTGGCCATCCGTCCGTGAGAAACTCAGTTTTGGTCGAAAATACCTTATCTGATGAGAGGGTCAGTTCTCCTGGGAAGTTCCCATCATTTTCTTTTTTCTTTATGGGTCACACCTGGGTTACTCCTGCACAGCGGTTACTCCTGGCTCTGCACTCAGGAATTACTCCTGGCGCTGCTCAGGGGATCTTATGGGATGCTGGAATCAAACACGGGTTGGCCATGTGCAAGGCAAACGCCCTACCCACAGTGTATTGCTCCAGCCCCCAAGTTCCCATCATTTTTGATGATAGTGTCAAACTGTCACCTGAAAATCTGTATCTTGGCTCACACAGTTGATCACTGACCTGTGAGAAGCTCAGTGACCCAAGATGAAGGTTCTCTCTTTCTTTGTTTTTTCCATCCTTCCTTCCTTCCTTCCTTCCTTCCTTCCTTCCTTCCTTCCTTCCTTCCTTCCTTCTTCCCTTCCTCCCTCCCTTCCTCTCTCCCTCCCTCCCTCCCTCCCTCCCTCCCTTTCTCCCTTCCTTCCTCCCTCCCTTCCTTCCTCCCTCCCTTCCTCCATTCTTTTTTCTCTCCCTCCCTCCCTCCCTTCCTTCCTTCCTTCCTCCCTTCCTTCCTTCCTCCCTTCCTCCCTCCCTTCCTCTCTCCCTCCCTCCCTCCCTCCCTCCCTTCCTTTCTCCCTTCCTTCCTCCCTCCCTTCCTCCATTCTTTTTTCTCTCCCTCCCTCCCTCCCTCCCTCCCTCCCACTCTTCCTCTCTCCCTCCCTCCCTCCCTTCCTTCCTCCCTCCCTCCCACTCTTCCTCCCTCCCTCCCTCCCTCCCTCCCTCCTACTCTTCCTCTCTCCCTCCCTCCCTCCCTTCCTTCCTCCCTCCCTTCCTTCCTTCCTTCCTTCCTTCCTCCCTCCCTTCCTTCCTTCCTTCCCTCCCTCCCTCCCTTCCTTCCTTCTCCCTTCTTTCCTTTCTCCCTTCCATTCTTTTTCTCTTTCTCTTGTTAGGACAGGACAGCCTCGGAGGTTGAAGATCAAGAGCCATGCCCTAACACTCTCTCCCTTTCTTTCCCACACCCAGCAGTGCTCAGGGCTTACTCCTGGTTCTGTGCTCAGGGTCGCTCCTGGTCATGCTCGGGGGCGCTGTGTCATGCCAGGAGGAACTGAGCCAGCTGCGTGCAGGGCCAGACCTCACGTCTACCTCTCTGGCCCACATCTCTCTTTTCAATACCCTTTCTCCCTAAACCAAAAACTCTCCATTAGGAATCTTTGTGCTGTGCTCATCGGAAAATTCCTCCCTGGAGATCTGAATCAGAACTTTGAGGTGCGTTCCCAAGAGTCTGCCTCAAGTGCTGGGTAGCCGCAGTCTCGGTATTTTTCTAGTGAGGGGCTTTAATGTCCTCCTCCTGTCCCTCCTCGCTGTTCTCTCTGGGGCTGCCCCTCAGGCTGGGCGCTCACGGGTGTCCTGGGTACTTGTCCTAGCTGTAGTGTTTCCGCATGTGCTCACCCCTTCTCAGCCCCGGACGAGGTGCGGGAGTCTTGGTTCTGGCGCTCGCCAGGCGGTGTGAGAGGCCCACACATGTGCACCCGCTGGCCGTGTTCCTGGCCTTGGTGCTGATACATCTTAGTTGTGGCCCCCTGGAGCCAATCTTCCGCACAGTTCTCTGGGAGGGGAGCCACTGAGGGGGGCAACAGAGGCAGAGACCACAGGATGGGATGGGGAAGGGGGCCACTGAGGAGGGCGGCAGAGGAGTGATCATGGGGGCGGGATGGGCTCGTGGGACTGGCATTACTGAGGAACCTTGTCAGAGCCCTCCCATCTCCCTGGAATAGGCTGGTTCATCTGGGGGTTTGAGGCTCTTCATGTTCCCAGAGCGAACAGATGCCATTGGGCTACACTAGCACGTGACAGGGACAAATGGAGACGTTACTGGCACCCGCTCGAGCAAATCGACGACTAACGGGAAGTTAAGTGATTAAGTGATCTGGGGTGACGGGTCAGCTGGGTAGGGACCAAGGAGGGGACACTAGCATGGAATGCGCTCATCCCAGAGGTGGAGCTGAGGTGTCAGGCTGAGGCCAAGAGGGTCTCCAAGGCAGAGACTGACCAAATGGAGACTGATAGGGCCAGAAATGTACTGGACGTCATGGGGGGATGTTTAGAGCATCTAGAAGGGGCATGGTCCAGCAGAGACGGGTGGACTGGAGTGAGCTTGCTTAGGAAACGTCCCCGCCCGGAGGACCCACATGAGCACGGACCCTGGAACTGGACCCTGGTTCGTTCTTTCTTTCTTTCTTTCTTTCTTTCTTTCTTTCTTTCTTTCTTTCTTTCTTTTGGCTTTTTGGATCAAATTGGCAATGCTCAGGGGTTAGTCCTGGTTCTGCAATCAGGAATCACTCCTGGCGGTGCTCAAGGGGCCATAAAGAAATGCCGGGGATTGAGCCTGGGTCAGTAGTCATGTGCAAGACAAACGCCCTCCCCACTGTACTATCGCGCCAGCCCCTCTCTTTCTCTCTCTCTTCTACTTTCTCTCCTTCCTTCCTTCCTTCCTTCCTTCCTTCCTTCCTTCCTTCCTTTCTCCAGCCCCAGGGCTGCGGCAGTCATTCCATCTGTCACTCTAGTGTGGCCCGGAAACCAGCTGGCCACTGACCACAGCCTTTGAGCTTTCTTTTCTGTAACAATCATTAGTAGTTTCTAGAAGCAAGTCGAGACACACATTTTGATGAGCCGGGGTTCATTTTGAGAAAAAACCCTCTGAAGGATGATTAACTGCCACAGAGCAGCCTTGAAGGTCTAGAGTGTGAGTCATGTTCTACTGCGTCAGCCTGTAGGGGTGGATTTTCTTGGTTATTTGGGGGAATGAATATCATGATTTTATTCAGGAGGAAAGTTCTTGGTGGGGCATTCTTTCCCTCCAAACTTTGATATTTCAAATAAGCCAAATGAACAAGCGTTTTAGGCTATTTTGAGGGGGGGTCACACCCAGCAGTGCTCAGGGCTTACTGCTGGCTCTACACTCAGGGATTACTCTTGGCAGTGCTCAGGGAACCTTATGAGATACTGATGATCAAACCCAGGTCAGCTGTGTGCAAGGCAAATGCCCCACCTGCCGTACTATCTCTCCAGTCCCTTTAGGGCTATTATCCAAAAAGTATTCTACAACACTGACTAGAATAGAGACGCATACATTACTGGATCGCTCAAGGACCATATGCTATGCTGGCTTTGTGATGAGACTAATTTTTGCACTATAAACATTTGAGGTAATTTTTGTGCTTAGCGAATTTTTGGGCTGGAGCGATAGCACAGCGGGTAGGGCGTTCGCCTTACAAGCAGCCAACATGGCCGACCCGAGTTCGATTCTTCTGCCCCTCTCGGAGAGCCCGGCAAGCTACCGAGAGTATTCGATATGCCAGACACAGTAACAACAAATTCTCCAATGGAGACGTTACTGGGCCCGCTCGAGCAAATCGACGATCAACGGGAGGGCCTTTTTGTGCTTATAAAAATTTAGATGGTACTATAAATCACAGCAACTCAAATCTGAAAAAAAAATGATTTAAAAAAGTAAATAAAACTATTTAAAGCAGGAAATTTTAGGGCTGGAGATACTCAGGGGCTGCAACAAAGGCTTTAGCTACAGGAGACCCGGGTCCAAATCCCAGAATCACAAGCTTCGCAGAACATCCAGCCGGGAAGAGGCACTGAGCAGTGTTAGGCATGCCTCCCCACTAAAAACCAAGAAAAGCTTTTAAAAAACCAACAGCAGAGCTTCCGTGGCAATTACAAAAGAGGGAAAGCCAGCAGACAGCCCTGTGGCCAGGCCTGAGCTGATCCGAGTTGCCTTGCTGGCCTTTGTGGGCCAGAAGATGGCATTTGCATACGGTTCAGTCTAAGCGACTTCACCCCCTCCACAAAAACTACCCCCCACGATTCTTTCCAGTAACTTGTAGCTTCAGAGACTGAAGGAGAAAAAAAAATGAAACAAAAACAGAAAGCAAAATAACGGGGTCATTTTTGGCGCTGAGGTCAGAGATTCTTTATAGGCAAAGTTCTTAATGTGACCCCCTGGAGAGCTCAGGCCGAGCAGTGTCCCCTTGGAACAGCCCCAAGGACGTTCACACGTGGCTCAGTTCCAGGAACCGAGGGTCTGTCTCCTCAGACCGACGGCACAGACAATTCCTTGAATCGACCAAATTTTTTTTGTTCTAAGAAGTTCAAAACTTTTCAGTGACCTCATCTCCCACCGTCTGCGTCTGACAGATCTCTATCTGCAAGGCACGGGGGGCTCAGTGGGTGAGAATGTCCCGCATCTTACCTGCCTTTTCCTGCGGAACCTGTACCCTGCTCTCCCCACACCCCTCCAGCGGGTGACCTGCGGGCAAGGAAGGAGGCTGCATTTCCTGCTGGCCACTCACCTGGGCAGTCGGTGGGGAAGTGACAGACAGAACCCCAGCCGATCTTTACACTGCGGCTTCCGTCCTGCCTCAGCAAGTGGCCAGTGGGCACTGATGCCACGTGGATGTGGGTGGGAAAAGCCATGATGCCATGTGGATGTGGGTCAGCTGCACAGAGGTTGCTGACTGGCCAGGAAGGTCCCAGGGACCATCCACGCGGGGACATGTGGGAAGAGGTGCAGGTATCTGGGGACGGGCCCTGCCCCACACATAAAGGCAAAGCCAGAGGACAAAGGCAGAAACAGGTGCCCCTGAGCTTGCCCCTCCCACACGGACATGGACACCCGCTGCTCCCCAGAACAGGAAACCGGTCACACACTGGGAGTTCAGTTCCCCAAACATTTGGAATCAGCTGAGCTTCTTGCCGCACTCTCCTGGGTACCCAGCTCTGCCGGCTCTTCCCTACAGCTTTGCCTGCTGGCCCACACCTCTGCGCCCTGCTGAGTGCCCCTGGCACTGCCCCCTTTCAAACTCAGCACCCCTGTTTACCCCCCGTCCATGCCCCGGGGGTCTCTGTCACCTTCATTCCAGGCAGAGCTGATGATGGTCAGCGCTGCACCATCTCTGAGCTGGGTCAGCGGCCTGGTTTGCTTTGCTTACCCTGAAGGGGGGGTGGGGACACCTGAGGTCACGGAGTCTTCCCCACTTGCCCCCAGGCCTCAGTAGACCCTTCTGCTGGAATTCTTCCCATGGAGAGGCCCGAACGCCGCACAGCTGGTGCCCACCATGGGCAGGGCCCTCCAAGGCCAGAGCCCACCATGTCCCTCTGCCTCTCCTCTGGGTGCGACTGTCTACCCTGTGGAGGATGTGGGCCCGGTCCCCCTCCCTTTCACGTGGTCTCTTCCACAGTGGTCCTAGGCCACTTGGACTCCCCCCCCCCCTCCGTGTTAAAGCGTGATGGACAGGTCGTGGCTAAGCTGAGGCGCCTGATGCCCATGAGGGCTCGTCCCCGCTATGAGTGACGACCGCCTGAGCCGCAGCTGCTGGTCATGTCTCCCTGTGGCAAGAGTGTTTACATCCCAGCTGGCAGCTTCCAGGCTCCCGTGCGGCCAGACTCACTGGACATCAGTCCCCTGACCGCGTCTCCCCTTCACCCGCCACTCGAACAGAGTGAGCTCAGCATTTTCAATTCTACCTGTCGGCAGTGGGACCCCCGTTTGTCTCTCTCTGTCTGGCTTTCCCACTCAGCACAGTGTCCCCAGGTCTGGCCTCATGGTCCCTGGTGATAAAGCCCAGAAATCTGGGCCCAGAGACTGCCGGGATGCAGAGTCTACTCAGAGGGGCCCAGAGAGGACCCCCGCCCCATGCAGAGCGGGTCACAGAGCAAGAGCCCTGTGCCATCCCCGCCACAGGCGGCGAGCCCGGCGGTCAGCCCCCGATGGCCTCCAGCGTCCTTCCAGAAGGTGCATTCCTCGAGATGTTCATCAGTACCAGCAGATCACACGGCCGGAGCCCAGCACACGAGGACTCAGAGCTGCTTCTCTGCACCCCCTGCGCCCGCTAGAGCTCACAGGGCTTTACTGTCTGTGCTGCCTGATCGCCTCATGCCCTACCAAGTGCTCCCGAGGTGGGCAACACTGCCCGAGGGTACTGGGATGACAAGCAGTAGAGACCTCAGGAGGTGATTTCTCTTGGCTTGAGGAGGCAGATTTCCCAGAGGCACGGAGTGGCCACTCTCTGAAAAGCAGGTGATGGGCTGAGTGAGTGCAGGCCTGCTGCAGGCCACCAGCTGACAGAGATTCTTCAGAAAGTTTGCTCAGGCCTCATCCATTCGGTGTCCAGTGTCCCCCAGGGAGAACTGTTTTCTGATTTTCCTCACTGTGATGAAGGTCTCTCTGTTCTTTCACCTCATGGAGCTGAAATGACACAATGGACATTTTTAAATGTCTTTTTACTTATTTTTTTGTTTGTTTGTTTTGCTTTGCTTGGAGTCCACATCGGCTGTGCTCAGGAATCATTCCTGCCGGAGCTCCTGGGACCATACACAGCGCTGGGATCAAACCCAGATTGGCCGAGTGCAAGGCAAGCACCCTGCCCACTGTCCAATCTCTGGCCCAAATCTGTCCTCCTGTGTCATGCTTTCCAGAGCCCTTCATGTCATCCCCCCTCATGACAAGTTTCTTCCTCTTTTTAGAGGAAAAAAAAATCCTTTGCCCACTCTCTGTCAATGGACATTTGGCTTATTTCTAGCTCTGGCTATGACACATAAATCCCTAGAACATTCTTCCTGGACAGTTGCTGGCACACGCCCTGTTTCCTCGGGTGCCTGATGAAGTGTGACTTCCAGGCCCGGGAGCACTGTGCTGACGGTTTCTCTGGAATTGAGTTTCAGATCTTCTGCTGTACAGCGAAGGTTCTTCGCAGTAGCTCTCATGTGTATTATTTCCCAACGAAATAATAATGTCACTCTGCTCACACACTCACTGGCCGTGGGGGTCTTCTCTGGCAGGTGGCTTACAGGCTGGCCGGAGCCTCAGGATCCCCCGGGAGCCTTAGAGACCGCTGTTGTCAGCTGGACCCTCCCCTGAGAGCTTCCTACTCAGGCCCTGGCAGGAAACATTTCCAGGGAACTTTCCACTCTTGTCGGGGGCGACAAGTTGGTCTCGCACCCTTCATGCCTTTGAAGGTTATTTTTAACCTGATTATTAGGAATTCTTCATGCGTTCTGAGTCTTTGCACACTACCTTGTTCTTCGTCTGCTGTCTATATTACACATAATTTCCCCCAGTCTGTAGTTTCAATTTTCACTTTCTTAGTGGTTGCCAAATAAATTGAAGTGTATTTTTTTTTAATCTGAAATGGTGACAAAAACAGCAAAAAAAAAAAAAAAAAGAAGTTGTTTTGGAAAGTGAAAACCAATTTCTATGTAAAGAGAAGACTTTGGGGTGAATTTCTGTTTTGAATGAATGGTGCTTCCTTCTGCTTTTCTTGAAGTAGAAATTGTGTCTGGACAGGGTCTGCAGTGAGCTTGACTGGCTGGACACCTCCAGAGGTTGGTGATTAATCCAAACACCCTGGCCACAGCATCGGGCAATTCTCCGAATTACCTGGGGAAACTTCAAAGCACGTTCGTGCCAGCTGCTCACCTAGAGTTTCACACTTAATCAGTGGGGGATGTCGCTGGGGCAGCAGAGTTTTCAGAACATTTCCAAGTAATTTTCCACTGCAACTGTGCTGAGTCGTCTGGCTAACTGGTCACTCTGTTCCACTAGTCACTAACCATTGCAGCTGCGCTGAGTAGCCTGGCTAACGGGTCACTAAGATTTGATGTGAAGAGTTTGGTGGTGGGTGAGCAATTGATGTGACGTTTCATCTACCCATAGGCAAGTGTGTGAGTGTGTGTGAGTGTGTGTGTGTGTGTGTGTGCTGTATGTGTGTGTGAGGGGGTGTAGGGATGTGTGTGGGGGGAATGTGGTTTTTGGGTCACATCTAGCAGTGCTCAGGGCTTACTTCAGGCTCTGAACTCAGAGATCACTCTTGCAGGGGCTCAGGGGAACATACGGAGTGTCAGGGTGGCAGGGATTGACACGTGTCAGCTGAATCAAGACAAGTGCCCTATCCGCTACATTATTGCTTTATCCCCTACTCATAGTAAGTTTTAAAAACTCAGTCTAAAAATTTTTTTAAACATGTCTATGGTTACAGGAAACTAAGAAAATTGTAAACATTTGTCGAGGAGTAGGAAGATAAACAACTTTCAAACATAAAAGAAGTAAATTACGGGGCTGGAGCAATAGCACAGTGGGTAGGGCGTTTGCCTTGCACGCGGCCAACCCGGGTTCGATTCCCAGCCTCCTGTATGGTACCCCGAGCACTGCCAGGAGTAATTCCGGAGTGCATGAGCCACAAAAATAGCAAAAAAAAAAAAAAAAGGAAATTACAACAGGATATAATTCTGCGAGGAAAAAAGTGAAATAAACACATGCAATTAGGGAAAAATGCAGCTAAATTTAAAGATAATTAAAATAGAATTGGTGGGTTTTAAAAATATTTTGTTCTGGTTTGTTTGGGGGACCACCCCTATGGTGCTCAGGGGCTACTCCTGGCTCTGTGCTCAGGGGTGAGCTCTGGAAGGGCTCAGGGAACCACGTGTGGTAACTGGGGATCAAACCAGGGTTGGTTGTACTGCCCCAACACCTGTACGATTTCTCTGTCCCCACTGAGGCTGAAGAAGAAGAAGCCTTTGGGGTCCTGAGAGATAGCACAGGGGGTGGGGCACTTGTTTTGCATGCGGCCAACTTGGGTTCCATCCCTGGAATCCCGTATAAAACCACCAGGAGAAATTCCTGAGTGCAGAGCCAGGAGTAACCCCTGAGCATCAAAGGCATGGCCCCAGACCAAAAACCAAAAAGAAGCAGCTTTCTGTTAGCTGACCTGTGTAGACACCCCCCCAAAAGAAACGGGGTTAACCTAAACACGTGATAAGAAAAACACGGATGAATCAAACGAGATCTGTAGAACCTGTTGTATGACAGATCTCTCCCATCCACACCAAACAGGCGGCTTCCTCCCTCCCATCTAGTCTCGTGCCTTGAAGACCTGCTTCCTTCTGAGCAGAGAAATCTCAGGCTGGCTGGAAAAGCCTGATGAGAAACGCAGGGAAACAGGAACACCTGTGAACTAGAAGCATCTCCGTACTTCGAAACCCCCGGACACGGGGGAGCCACTGCTTCCTGTTTTGCACAAGTGGCTTGTGCTTCGTTCACACACTCGTCTCGCTCACTGCAGCCCCTCTGTGAGAAACGGAGCCACCTGCTAAAGAGGAGACCTTCCCTTGGGACCGCAGGCAGCGAGGGGCGAGGGTCTGCATGCATGCAGGAGACTGGGAAGGGAGCCACACCCGGGAGGTCGGTGGAGGAAATGTTGACTGGCATCTGTGTGCCACGTCAGTCTGACTGTAGAGGGGGCAGGGGACGTGGACTCAACCCAAAGTGAGAAGTGGGGACAGGAAATCTTGGGGGAAAGTAGCCACCTTCTGTTTATTTTCATAGGAATTTTGGTGACTCTGGGAACTCTGGAATGAAAATAGACCCACTGGAATTTAGAAAGAAAGGAGTCACACGAAAGAGCCAGCACCAGATGGCGCAGGACTAGGAAAGGTATTGAATTCTGTTCTGGAAAAAAAAAAAAAGGAAGCGGAGTCGGTGCTTAAGGGCCGAAGAGCAGATTTTAGTTCCACATTAGGCTGGTACCAGAATCTCAACTGTCACCGAGTGGTAGCGTCTGCCTGATTTGTTTCTGGATAACAAAAAGACTGAGCAGAGTCGCCAGCACGTCTTCAGTCTCTCTGGCTTTCCAAGTCAGTGGGATGGGGGCGGTGGTCACGGGGTCAAAGGAGTGTGTGTGGCCTGTGTTTCTGTGTCCAGCGGGGTTCTTGGTCAGGGTGTGCCAGGATCTCTGCCCTCAGCGGGCACCAGCCAGTATCTGTCCCGGTCACTCAACTCTCCCCACAGCAACCAACCTGGATCTGCCTCAGCCCAGAACCGTCCTTCATACTCAGCAGTTCAGGACTCAGAGCAGAGAGGGAATGAAGCACACGGTGCTCTCTGCACTTTCCCCCCGAGATGCTTGGCCCATTCAGGCCAGGGAGACGTGAGTTGACCTGGGTTCCGGGGGAGGACTAGCAGCCCTGCTCTCCTGACTCTGCAGAGTGGGGCAGAGACGAGTCCACTGTGCCCCGGTGTGTGGGATACAGGCGCCTAAGCCTGCCGCGGAGGCAGAGGGAGGCCCCACAGACCTGCAGGAGATCCACTCAATGCTGCTCCTTCTGGAGGCTTCGTGTTTCTGGAGGTGGGTGAGAGCTGGCCTTGAGGGTGTAGCAGGCAGGTGTTGGGGGACAGACGCATGGTGCCCACTTCCCTCAAGGCTGTCTCCTTAGTGTCCCGGAGTCGCACACCTTATATCTCATTTCCACACTTCCTCAGGGGAACCCAGCTGTTGGTTTAAGAAGGGATTTAATTTTTTTGTTTTGTTTTGTTTTTATTGAACCACCATGAGATAGACCATGACAAAGCTGTTTACGATTGTGTTTCAGTCATACGATGATCCAACACCCATCCCTCCACCAGTTTTGTTTCCCACTACCACTATTCCCTGTTTCCCTTCCACCAACCCCCCATTTCCTCCCACCATCCCCCAATACCACCCCCACCCCCGTCACCCAGCCTGCCTCTGTGGTAGGCACTTTTCTTCTAATGAGGATGTTTTGGAACTTGGGTGCACCAGGGCCTTGTTCACAATTAGGAAGAGCTTGGAATGCACCCTCATCCCCCAGGGAGCACCCACGTCACTGGCCACATCAGTACAGCATCACTGAGTTTGTCAGTGAATAGGCAAGAAACGTTTGCTGACGTTTCGTTTCGTTTCGAAACGAGTCTTCTGCCCCCGCGCCTGGCTGTTCCTCACCGAGGCCCCTTGGAGGGGAGTGGGTTGAGCTTTCCTCCCTGCCCCGACCAGGGTTCCGGCAGCCGAAGACCTCCAGGACCAGCCACCACCATGCTGAGACCACTCTCCGCACACATGAAGGTACTGGCAGAGGGACAAAGCCACGCGGGTTCCGGGGCCGAGATCTCCAAGCCTACTCGGACTGGAGTCGAGCATCTTCCACCCAGATCCTCCAAATCCCAGTAGGCGGGGGTCACACCCACCACCTGGTCCCCTGGCGCCGTGTAATCCCATCAACGGCCAAGACTCAGAGACTATAAAATCCAGCTCCTGGAACCGCGCGGCCGCATTTGCGGCTGCGCGATGTCTTACCAGGACATCTTTTTATGACATCTTATTATCTCATTCCTACTTTGGACAAACTTGCAGGCTATCGAATGTAGCCTGCCCACAGGGCAGAGTCTGGCAAACTCCCTGTGGCGTACCAAATATGCCAAATACCAGTAACAATGATGGGTCTCATTCTCCTAAAGAGCCTTGAATATAATCTCAGGGCTAGGATGAAAGAGACGTTACTGGGGCCTGCTCGAGGCAATCGACGAATAACAGGATGATGAAATGAAATGAAAATGAGGCAAGAAACAGTAGGCAGGTTTGTTGTCAAATGGTTCTGTTAGAATTTCTTTTTAATACATTTATATACAAGATTTTGTCTCTTTTCAGGCCAGGAATCAAACTCAGGGCCTCACACAGGCAAGGCCCTTGGGTCCTCTCCCAAACCTCTCGATTATTTTTCTGGTGTGCAGATGCCCCTGGATCCTGGGTTTCAGAATATTCTCTGGCCTCATGCCCGCTCACGGCACCGTGGCTGCCTTGCCGGTTCCTGCTCCTCTGCTTGGCAGATGGCAGCGTGTCCCCGGTGGGTACTGCTCCGTACAACTCTGTGTGGCGTGTGACAGAGCGGGGCATGAATCTGGCTCTGCATGTGGGGGTGCGTGTCACCACCTTGGAAACATGGCTTGGTTGGTCGGGTTCTACAGCTGTGCCTCATGGGCCCGAGGCGGTTTCCTCTGCCTGGGCAGAAGCAGTCTGAAGGTGTAGCCAAGGCTGAGTAACGGTGGTTTGCTCTCCTTGTCCAGACTCTGCAGCTGCTGTAACCGGGGATGAGCTCGGCAGGGAAGGAGGCCATGGCCATGGCTGCACCCTCAAGATCGCAGCCAACGGGCCCCATTGAACCTCTGCCTATGGCTGTGCAGGCTGTGACCTCGACTCCCACGTTTTCAGCGACAAGGAAAGAGACAAGAAGCGGATGCAGGTGTCCTGAGTGCAGCTGTGCCTTCTGGTTTCTGTGCCCATGAGCCAGCGTCACTCAGACTGCAGCAGCTGCTCACAGGCGTGCTGCCCACCAGGTTTCCCAGGGAATGATGTGAACCTGGGGTCAGCGCCTACCTGCCCCTCTGCCCTCATCCCACGCTTAGCACCGGGCTCCTTCCCGTCACCCAGGTTTATCTCAACACTTGGGCAGTGCCTTCAGAAATACCTTTCTAGCCGGACCCTGGGGAACAGAGGAGAGGGGCAGAAGGCCAGCTCTGAGGCACCCAGGTGAGGAACCGGGCCATAGTCCAGAAGTGGCAACGCCACCTGAGCCAGGCTGGCCTCTGCTGACAGAGTCATCCATTTCTTAAGGTCTTACCTGGTTATTGCCTTTCTTTCTTTCTTTCTTTCTTTCTTTCTTTCTTCCTTTCTTTCTTTGTTATTGCCTGCCTGCCTTTCTTTTCCTTTCTTTCTTTCTTTCTTTCTTTCTTTCTTTCTTTCTTTTTTGTATCTTGGGTCTCACCCAGCGTGCTCAGGGCGGAACTCCTGACTCTGTGCTCAAGACTCACTCCTGGCTCTGTGCTCAGGGCTGACTCCCGACTCTGTGCTCAGAGATCCCTCCTGGCTCTGTACTCAGGACTCAACTCCCGGCTCTGTGCTCAGGGATTAATCCTGGCTCTGTGCTCAGGGATGACTCCCAACACTGTGCTCAGGGCTCTGTGCTCAGGGCTCACTCCTGGCTCTGTGCTCAGGATCAGCGCTCAGGAATGATTCCTGGCGGTGCTCGGGGTGAGGGCGGAACCTCTGGGATGCAGGGGATCGAACCTGGGTGGCCCACATGCAAGGCAAACGCCCTCTCCGCTCTAGCCCTGTTTCCTCTTTTTAAAGCCCCCCCTCTGAAAGACCCAGCGAGCCTGGCCAGGAGAGACGGATTCCACGCCTCGCTCACCGCTGGACCACCTGGAAGCCTCGAGGCAGCCTGCCCGCGGCGCAGTGCGGGCTTCCCGCCGCAGGGGGGCGCTGCAGCCAGCTGCAGTCCTTGGCCCGCGGCGCAGTGCTGGCCTCCCGCCGCACGGGGCGCTGCAGCCGGCGGCAGTCCCTGGCCCGCGGCGCAGTGCCAGCCTCCCGCCGCGGGAGGCGCTGCAGCCCGCGGCCCTTGGCGCCGGCGCGTGGGCGCCGCTCTTCCGGCCGCACGCGCCCCTTGACCCCGTGGCGCGCACTCGCGCAGGGGTTGGCGCCGGCGCCGTCGCGTCCCGGCTCCGAGCGCGCCCCGCGCTGCGTCCGCGGCCCATGGGAGAGCGGCCGGGCGCGCCGGGTGAGTGCGGGCGCGGGCGGGCGGGCGGGGGCGTCCGCGGCGGCGGGGAGCCCGCTGACCACGCCGTCCCCTCTGCCCGCAGCGTCCCGCGGAAACCATGTCCTTGTACGACGATCTGGGCGTGGAGACGAGCGACTCCAAGACCGAGGGCTGGTCCAAGAACTTCAAGCTCCTGCAGTCGCAGCTGCAGGTGAAGAAGGCGGCGCTGACGCAGGCCAAGGTGAGGCCGGGCCCGCCGGACCCCGCGGGACCCCGCCCGACCCCCGGGCCCCGCCGCCGCCGCCTCCGGGCGGGCGCCGGGCTCTGCAGGCCGGGGGCGCCTGTGCAGGGGGCCCGCGGCGGCCTGGCCAAGCGCAAGGGACGTCCGGCCGCGGTGCCCGGCCCGGGGACGCGTGGCCAGCAGCTCCCGGATCCTTCGGCGCCCAGCACGCAGCCCCCGGCGTTGGGTGGGGGCTTTGGGGGGGAGGACGGTGGCAGGCAGGACGGCTCAGGACACCTGTCGCTGGGCAGGACCACAGAGCGGGTCCTGGGTTAATCCCGTGCGGGCTCGTTATTCACTTTGCAGGTGGGAGTCTTGGGGCTCGGGATGCAAGCGAGTCTGGAACTGTAGGACATCAGGGGGAGGGTGGCAGGGAACCACCAGCTGCCCGAGAACTCGAGAAATGCGGGTGACTGGCCCAGCAGGATGGTGAGTGGCCGTCCGTGGCTGACCATCGCTTCCGGGCAGAGACAGAGCTCGGAGGGGCCCCGCTTCCATCCACCGCGGGCTGTGGCCCCCAGGCCTAGCTAGAAACCAATTTAAAGGATCAATTTCTGTGGATTCCTAATGAAGGGGGGGGTGTGGCGGGGGCAAGGAATGGAAAGCTGGTGTGGTCTCTGGTCCAGTGTGTGGACCTGCCTCGCTCACAGGCCTGTCCGCTGGGTCGGGCAGAGGCCCTGTGTCGCCCTTGCACGGAAGGGGACACGTTTCAGTCAATGGGACCGAGTTCCCCAGGCACCTTGTGAAAATGAAGGAAGTCGGGGTGGGGTTTGTGCCTGGCAAAGTGTAGCGAGGCCGTGGTGGCCACACAAGCCGCCAGAGCTTCAGTGCACTTGTTTTCACCGGTTTCAGAGCCAGAGGACAAAGCAGAGCACTGTCCTCGCCCCCGTCATCGACCTCAAGCGAGGCGGCTCCTCGGATGAGCGGCAGATCGTGGACACCCCGCCACACGTGGCTGCCGGCCTCAAGGTGAGCCCTCTCCTCGCCCTCCCCCTTCCTGCCTGGGGCGTCTCCCCCTGCGCGGCACCTGGCACCCAGCTCGTTTCCTTGGGCGTTTCCAGACCCTCACTTTTGTCAAGTTTAAAAATGACGTTGTGGGCCAGGGAGAGCGCAGAGGGCTGAAGCCCGTGGTGAGCCCTGAGTCCCAGTACTGCCGTGAACTGCCCCTATGGCTGGTGTGACCCAAAACAAGCCAAGAAGTTCGTTTTGGGAGGAAATTCGGAGGCATCCTTGTTTTGGGCTGACAAAGGATCTCTGAGCGTACTGTTCACTTTGGAGGAAGTTGGAGAAAGAGCTGAAAGAAGTTACGTCAGGACCGGAGAGATGGTACATTGGGAGGGCACTTGCTTTGTAAGCGAGAGTAAGCCCTGAGCACTTGCAGGAGTGGACCCAAACCAAGTAAATTGCCCGCTTGGTCCCAGTGGTTTCACAGGGCTTGAGGGTGCAGGCAGGCAGGGTGTCTCTCCAGTGGCTGAGGAAAGGATCGGTCAGGATCGCAATGAGAATACCGGCAGATGGCCCCGGCCGGAGCCATAGCACAGCGGTGAGGGCGTTTGCCTTGTATGGGGCTGACCCGGTTTGATCCCTTTCACCCCATATGGTCCCCTGAGCACTGTCAGGGGTGATCCCTGAGTGCAGAGCCAGGACTAATCCCTGAGCATCACCAGGTGTGGCCCCAAAACAAACTAACAAAGGGCAGAAGGGAGCTGGAGAGAAGCACAGTGAGGGCGTTTGCCTTGCCTGCGGCCAACCCACCTGGACCCCTGATAGCCCATATGGTCCCTGAGCAGCGCCTGGTGTGGCCCCCAACAAAATCTCTAGGTACGGGCAGTTATGGGAGCCCAGAGATAACAGTGGGCAGGGTTTGCGCGCAGACACCCGGATCTAGTCCTTAACTCCACATACAGTCTCCCAAGCCCTACCAGGAGTGACCCCCGAGGAGACCGTGTCGTTTCCCCAACCCCCCACCAAAAATGATAAGAAAAGGAAAGAAGAAAAGGGCGGGCTGTGGCTGGAAGGAAACCAGTGGGACTCTGGAGCTTGGGTCCAGCTGGCCAGGCCCTGGGCGCAGAGCTTCCGGAACTGGGTTGTGTTCCTCAGCCTGGCGCTGTCTTGAGTCTTCCGGAGGCCCCTCGTGTCACACAGCAGCCCCTTGGGGCTCCACACACTCCTGTCACCCAGGACAGCCTGGGCTTGGGGGCTTGAGGACATGCTTAGAGATGCACTGGGGCATGCTGACCCTCGGACCCTTAGCACGGTGCTGGGGAGGGACTAAGTGAGCAGGAGGGTTGGGTGTCCACGGGTGCCCGCTCGGTTCAGCCTCTTGCCAGCCACGTTCCGCTGGAGGCTGCCCTGTCCCTCTCGGTCTGGCCTGCTGTCTGGGTGACCGTGTCCCCTCCAGGGATGCCCCGCTTACATTACTGTCTGGGTCTCCTAATTAACGAAGCTGTGAACGCACCTCATCTGGGCCCCCTGGACAGGGAGATGATTCTAGAGCCTTCTGAAAGCAGAAGGGGCCTTTTCTCAAGTTTCAGAATCAGGGGTGGTTCTGTTCAGTGACTGTGAAAATGATTGTGTTCTTTGTGGGCTTGCTTGCTTTTAAGTTTTTATTATTTTATTTTATTTTTTTGGCTCTTTTGCGCCACACTCAGCAGTGCTCAGGGGTTACTCCCGGCTCTGCACTCGAGGAATCCCCTGGCGATGCTGGGGGCACCAGTGGGATGCCAGGGATCAGCTGCAGGCACGGCAAGGCGAGAAGCCTACCTGCCATGCCATCATCGTCCCGGCCCCATCTTCTAAGTTTTCACAGAGATGTAGTTTTAAGAAAACGGTTTCGTGTTTATTTCACACGGTTGAAGTCCAGGAAGCTGCCTCGGCATCGGGGAACCCCGTGGCACTGAGCGGTGAGGCGCTGACGCTGGCGTGTGGCTGTGTCTGGGCGTCGGGCGGAAGGAGGGCTCGCGTCCTGCCGCCCTCGCGCCGTGGGATTCACTCGGTGTCTTCCCCTTCCTCAGGATCCGGTTCCCAGTGGCTTCTCCGCGGGGGAAGTTCTGATTCCTCTGGCTGACGAGTATGACCCCATGTTTCCCAACGACTACGAGAAAGTGGTGAAGCGCCAGAGGGAAGAGCGGCAGCGGCAGCGGGAGCTGGAGCGACAGAAGGAGATAGAGGAGAGGGAGAAGTACGGCAGGTTTGGGCCGGGGCCTGGCACGGGAACCCGAGCGGGCGGCGGTCCCCTGCCCGACCCCCACCTCCTAGCTGAGAGAGAGAGGATCAGGGCCCGGCCTGTCCCCTCTGCCCTCATTGTCTGCGACCAGCTCTGTGCGTCTCTCCCACACAGACGGCGCAAAGACAGACATGAATCCAGTGGCTTCTCCCGGAGACCAGACCCGGATTCTGATGAAGATGAGGACTATGAGCGAGAGAGGAGGAAAAGAAGTAAGGGCCGGGCGGAGCGTGGGCCTGGCTGTTGCCCTGTGCCCAGCAGGGTCCGACTATCTTGGGCTCCTCTGCGGAGGCTGCCGTCTCGTTTGCCTGCTGCAGATGCAGACAGCGTTTTGTCAGTCTGGGTTGGCCACTTGCCACGTTCCCACCCAGATCGCTGTGTTCTGGGTGCTCAGGATGGGGGGGGTCGGGAGCCTTCCCCTCGCTGCTTGTGGGGTGGGGCAGGTGCCTCTGACCAGTGCTTTGTTCCCGCAGGCCTGGGAGGAGCTGCCATCGCGCCCCCCACATCGTTGGTGGAGAAGGACAAAGAGCGTACGTACCCTGGGCCCGGCCGCACTGGGATCTCAGGCAGTGTCGTGCTTTTTTATTTGTATTTAGGGCTAAATTGAACGGTTTCTAGGGCTGAAGAGAATCAGGGCTGAGCATGTTCTGTGGGCGGGGGGGGGGAGGGGGGAGAGGCCCAGGGTTGGTCCCCAGAGGAGGCAGGGAAAAAGCACTGAGTAGCTTTGTAGTTGGCGGCTGACCGGCTGAGTGGTGGCCAGGCACGGGGCAGAGGGCTGGGCTCCCTTGGGCTTGGCCACAGCTTCCACCCCCGCCGCTGTGCTCCCTGGCTGCCTTGAGGGTCTGCAGGAGTAACCCCGACCTCTGCTGTGCCCCTTGGCGCTTCTCCCTCAGCCATCCTCACTTGCCCAGCTCTGCTCTGTAGTTTCAATACCAGCCAGCTCTTGACATCTGGTGTTCGTTCAGTGAAGCTCATCCGGTCCATCCCCCTGGTGTGGCCAGCCCCGGGCTTGGCAGCCCTGCCTGGTTGGTCTGTGTGTGCCAGGGGCCCGTGCCCGGCATGGAGGCTGCCGTGTGCTTCTCCACAGCACTGAGCCAGGAGCAGCCCCGAGTAGCGCCTTGTGTGGCCAGTCAGACGGCCCTGCACTCTGGTGGGCGCCCATCCCTGGGAACCCTGCCCCCCCAGGACTAATCACTGGAGGGCAGCAGGCAGGCGGTCTCCTTAGGGAGGCCCCGGATGGGCCATAGGCAGGAGGAGGTGGACCCTGCAGAGCTCGTGACCCCTCTGCAGTTTGTTCATGGAGAAGGGGGGTCGAATGTGCCCAAGAAGCAGCACCTCTGGGAGGGCGTCAGCCTGGCACCCCACACAGCCCCCCCCACCCCCAGGTGAGGCTCAAAACCAGAGGCAAGAAAAGAAAATGTGTAGGAACTAAAAACGGACTCAGCTATTCTTTTGGTTTTTTGTTTTGGGTCACACACAGCAGTGCTCAGAGGGTACTCCTGTCTCTACACTCGGGAATTAGTCCTAGTGGTGCTTGGGGGCCCTGTGGGATGTTGCGTACAAGGCCAGAGCCCTGCCCACTGTCCTGTGTCTCCAGGCCCTGGATGAGGCTCTTCTCGCAGAGAACCAGAACTGCCACCTAACGAGCGGGTCCGGACAGAAGGGTTCCGACTCCCTTGCAGCCTCTTGCTGATGCCTTTGCTCTCCCCACAGTGCCCCGAGACTTCCCCTACGAGGAGGAGTCGCGGCCGCGCTCACAGTCGTCCAAAGCCGCCATCCCTCCGCCCGTGTATGAGGAGCAGGACAGGCCCAGGTCCCCTCCTGGGCCTGGGAACTCCTTCCTTGCCAACATGGGGTGAGTCTGCCCCAGCTCCTTCCCAGCCGCCTTGTGCTGTTGCCAATGAGGCGCACGGCCCCCGCTTCATTGGGAGGAGGGCGAGGGTGGCCCACAAGACGCTGCAGGCTCCCTTCACCCCCTGAAGCCTTTAAGGCTCAAGTTTCTGGAGCAAACTGGTCCTGAGGCAGGCCCGGTTCCCAGCCGTGAGTGGGACTCGGGCTCCGTCTGGGGACACCAGGCAGCATTTGCCTCCGGGCGGCGTTCTCCGTTGGGTGTAGAAGCTTTTCGTCTCTCTGATGTCCACGAAGGCGCCTTTCGGGTTGCGATTGTGAGTGTTGGGGCATCCCCAGTGCTTCCTGGTGGTGCTAGGGAGCATGTGCTGGGCCCTTCACCTGCCAGGACCGTGGGCCTCATCGGTGGGAGGCGGGCGCTGCACCCCTCTGCCCTCAGTCTGGCTCTGAGGGCCCCGGGCTGGCGGCTTCATCCCAGAGCTACAGGGAAGCGTCTGGGGAGCACCGGACAGGGCAGCTTCTGGGCCTGGGCTGATGGCGCAGCTGGAGACAGCCCCTGGTAGGGTGCTGGTTTCTGGCATCCACAGGGCAGTCGCGGATCTTTAGGTGGGAAACTGCCTGTGTTGTTACTGTTTCCCCTGCTGGTGATAAGACTGAAGTTCTGCTGAGTCTGCTCTAAGCTGGTGCTATGGTTGGACCCTGGGCTTCTGGGCCTTCCCTTGCCGCCCTGGGCCAGTGTGTTCTGAGGGTGGTTGGAAGATTAGTCCCATGATGCCTTTAGCTGGGCACCAGGCACGGGGCACCTGCGCTAGCCCTGAGCTCCATCCCCGTCCTCAGCCGGGACTTTTCCTACTTCAAAACACCCACAGTTTTTAATCATATGCCACACTGTGGGAGCCTGAGGACTGTCCCCTCTCAGAAGACCATTGGGAGCTGACCTCCAGCTGATGTTCTACTCCCAGTTTCTAGGCGGCCTCATGTCCTCACAGTCACATGACTGAATGCTGGGGGTCGGGCAAGGGTGATTAGACAATAGTTACAGGTTTCTGAGTCTTCAACAGACAAAAATCAACCGAAAATCAGGGGAAGTGAGGAGCTTCCTGCAGCTCCCAGCCAGGTTGCTTTTCTCCATGGGTGGGGCATGGCCAGGGCCGGTGACTGAGGGGGACCCTTCTTCACTCTCGCAGTGGCACGGTTGCACATAAAATCATGCAGAAGTATGGCTTCCGGGAGGGCCAGGGGCTCGGCAAGCATGAGCAGGGCCTGAGCACGGCGCTGTCGGTGGAGAAGACGAGTAAGCGAGGAGGCAAGATCATTGTGGGGGACGCCACAGAGAAAGGAGGCTCGCCACCTCGGCCGGGCTTCCCAGGTGACGTGCTATTCTGTTGGGTGTTCTGGGAGGGGCTGGATGGACGGGGGATGGGGAGGGGTGTGGATGAATGGACGGGTGTGTGTGGATGGATGATGGGTGTGTGTGTGTGTGGATGGATGGACGGGTATGTGTGGATGGATGGACAGGGGTGTGTGTGGATGGACGGATGGGGTATGTGTGTGGACGGACAGGGGTGTGTGTGTATGGATGGACGGGGGTGTATGGATGGACAGATGGGGGTATGTGTGGATGGACGGACTGGGGGTGTGTGGATGGACGGATGGGGGCGTGTGGATAGATGGACGGGAGTTGTGGATAGACAGACGGGGAGGTGTGGATGGACAAACGGGGGTGTGTGTGGATAGACGGACGGTGGAGGGTGTGGATGGACGGGGGTGTATGGATGAACAGATGGGGGTGTGTGTGGATGGACGGATGGGGGGGTGTGGATAGATGGACGGGAGTTGTGGATAAACGACGGGGAGGTGTGGATGGATGCACGGGGTTGTGTGTGGATGGACGGACGGTGGAGGGTGTGGATGGATGGGGGGGTGTGGATAGATGGGGGCAGTGTGGGTGCCTTCCGGAAGCTAGTTAAAGTAAAGTAGACCAAGCCAGGCAGCTGCTTCCCTCCCAGACAGGGCTCATTTTTGCTCAGTCACCTGCCTCAGTGCTCGTAGAAATCTAGGACACAGATGCAGTCAGTACTTGCACACATCGGGGTTCAGGCACTTGTACCTCTGACCTCCACGCTCCCCAACCTTTAACTCTCAGCTTGCTGGTGACTCTGAGACTTCTAGTAGTGAGAGTGAAGTAAATGTCCATGTTCCTGTGTTGCCACTGTATTTTCGAATACAGTAAGCTGGAGAAAAGACATTATTGGCAAGAAAATTGGAGAAACAGCGCTGCTCCCTGGTGAGCAATCCTGGAAATTCTTGGTGATCCGAGCATCTGTGATGAGCCGTCTGACCTGCAGGGCTCGGGACTGCCCGGCCCGCTCCTGGCTCATGTGGGTCTGGCAGTTTAGCCTTGGGTGTATTTTGTGTTAATGACTGATCAAATAATAATACCTACCCCCTGTATCTGTGATGTAGCTTTTTCTTTCTTTTTTTGCTTTTTTGGGTCATACCCAGCAATGCTCAGGGGTTACTCCTGGTTCATGCATACAGGAACTACTCCTGGCCGTGCTCAGGGGACCATATGGGATGCTGGGAATCAAACCCGGGTCGGGCCGTGTGCAAGGCAAACGCCCTACCTGCTGTGCTATCACTCCAGCTAGCTTTTTCTTAAAGCAAAAAAGATCAGTTTTATTAAGAATGGAAACTAGTTCAGAGTGGAATATGGGATACTCCAGAGATAGGGACACAGAAATGAACACCGGAAAGCAGAAGGAGTTTGGTGGAAGGACGAGGGCGCGCACAGGGCGGTGCTTCCAGACTCAGGTGTCTGCACACGTGGCAGGTCCTAGAAGTCCAGGAGTCCCCATGGCAGGGAGAGCTGTCGCCGTGCGTGCGTGTGTGTGTGACTCGTGTGAGTCTGCCTGACTCTTACTGACTCAGTGACACCTGGGGGGTGTGTCTGTCTGATGTGCCTGATTGTGCCTGTGACTCAGTGACACCCAGGGGGTGTGAGCCTGCCTAATTGTCACTCGGTGCTGCTGTAGACACTCAAATGGTGACTTTTTTTCTGCAGATGCTTCCAAGAAGTCAGACTCAAACCCACTGACAGAAATCCTTAAGTGCCCTACCAAAGTGGTCCTGCTCAGGGTAAGAGGCAGAGGGAAGGCCTGTGTGCTTTCCCCACTGCACAGAGATTCTCCTGAGGTGACATTGGGTTGCAGGATCAGGTTTGGGGGGTCCGGTGTCCTCCGACCTCCTTGGACACCATACCACCCTCTTCACCAAAGTTTCATCCAAGGACCCTCACCCACCCCCGGCAGCAGCTCCTCAGCATGAAGTCAAGGTGGGGGTCTGTTCCTTAGGGGCGGAGCCACCCTTTGGGCCACATCTGAGGTGCTCTGGAGCTACTCCTGGGTCTTCTCAGGGCTTGTCCGGGATTGTGCTCAGCCCTTGGAACCCTCTCTCTGGCCCCTCCCAGTTTTGTTCTCTATTTTCTGAATTAATTTGGCTGTTGGCAATGAAAGTTTCTGTATTTTTGCTTTGTTTTCTAAAGAAATGCCAACTTTGGGAGTGCTATGGGGTTAAACATTTTCACTGGGTTGGGCTAGTACAATGGTAGGGCGTTTGCCTTGTATGAGGCTGACCTGGATTCGATCCCTGGCACCCCATATGGTCCCCTGAGTGCAGAGCCAGGGATAAACCCTCAGCATCACCATGTGTGGCCCAAAAACAAACCAAAAATTATTCTTTTTCATTGTGTCATTTGGGTTTGAGAACCTTTACCATCATGAAAGCAAGCTATGTATTTTAATTACGCATTTCCAAATCATGTCTGTTCCTTGAATTAATTTGTTTTTGTTTTTAGAACATGGTTGGTGCAGGAGAGGTAGATGAAGACTTGGAAGTTGAAACCAAGGAAGAATGTGAAAAATATGGCAAAGTTGGGAAATGTGTGATATTTGAAGTAAGAGGGCTTTTATCTCTGGGTTTACATGGAAGCCAAGTTCTGACAGAGCGCCAAGCGTCTCCTGCAGGCGGGCTGCCTGGGCTGCTGTGGTGCACTCAGAATAGCCGTTTAAACACAGCGGGAGGCCCCCACTCAGCCTGGTGAAGAGTGTTTCTGCTGAACTTCACTCAGGACTGTCCCAGCGCAGCAGCAGTGGGTCACTCGGACACGGTGCCCACGTCTGCCCAGGGCCTCCCACATTCCCCATATGGTCATTTGAGCCAAAGGCAGAACAAGCCTTTGTTAAAATAGAGAATTTCTAGCTGTGGGACTTAGTGTTGCCGGAGGAAGTGAAGACAGGGTTAAATCAGTCATAGGAAGCCTGGGAAAGTCTTTGAACGGGACTGGGGGGTTGCAGGTTTCCAGCGCCTTCCCTTCATGCCAGTGCCCGGCATGCATCTCGCCCTCAGCTATGTCCACTGTGCTCTGTGCCATGTCGCTGCTGCTTGGCATAGTTCTGTGTGGCCAGGTGCTTCACATGTCGGCTGCAGAGGCCCCTCCGTGCCCGGCCGGACACATCACCTTTGGCCCCTCTGTCCTTCTCTGGGGTGGTGATAATTGGGAAAAAGGCCTGACGAGGAAGAGCTTTTAGGGGATGATGGCTACTGTGTCTTTCATGGCTATCTCCTCCCAGATCCCCGGCGCCCCTGACGATGAAGCAGTCCGGATATTCTTGGAGTTCGAGCGGGTGGAGTCGGCCATCAAAGGTGAGTGGGAGCAGTCCTGAGGAGTGGCTGCAGGCTGTGCCCGAGGCCGCCCCTGACCTCAGTTTTCTCTTGCCTTTCAGCTGTGGTCGACCTGAATGGGAGGTACTTCGGCGGACGGGTGGTCAAAGCATGCTTCTACAATTTGGATAAATTCAGGGTCCTGGATTTGGCAGAGCAAGTGTGATTGTAGGATCAGGCACAAGGCATCCCTGCCGACCCCAAACTGAGCCTCGGAGCGCATGGAGGAGAGAGGCACGAGCTGCCCGCCGGGCTGCCGGGCAGACGCGAAAGACTTCTAGGATATATGTTGATTGATCCCTTTTTTATTTTATGGTTTTTTAATATAGTATAAAAATCCTTTGAAAAAACCTCTGTGTGCCTCTGGTTCTCTCCTTCACTGCTCCTGAGCTGGTCATGTGCTTTGCTTGGACTCTGGTATTCTGAAGTGCTTTGATGAACCAGCGTTTCTTGCACCCGAATCTCAGACAGCTCTGCCACCTGGATTGTGTTCGTTTATCCTTTGCTCTTGTTTTGGCTCCTTTTATACCTCTTGGGTGTTGGATGGCAGCTTCACAAACCACGTAATAAAGTATCATTTTGGCGGTCTGCCAAAAATGTCTGCTTTCTCGAACAGAGGCCTCCCGGGTCAGAGGAAGGCGCTTCCTGCCCTGCGCTGAGGTTGGCGAGGCTCGAGCCCGCCAGGCCCTGCCCATGATGCTCATCTTCAGCCCGGCTCAGTCTAAAGCTCGGGCTGTGATGGGTGCAGGGGCAGAGGCGCAAAGCCCTGGACTGGCATTTGCTTTCAGTCTTCAGGGTAGGTTAGAACGACCATCCGACTCCTGGGTTAGGGATGGTTGGGGCCAGCACACCCGTTCCCACGCCAGCCCGGGGCCTACTAGCACTGGGTCCAGCTTGCAGTACTGAGTGAGCCTGCTGCCACTGTCACGGCCAGGGGTTGGGGGATAGCCATGTGGGGGAGGGGCAGAACTGCAGTCCCTCCCTGGGGTCCACTCTCCCGCAGGGAGCCTGCTGTCCACCCAGAAGGCCCAGGGTCAGTATCTTTGGGAATCCCTCAACTACAGCCAAGGAGACACTGGGCCTGGGGCATGAAATTCCCGCTCTGCTCCCCGCCTGCAGGGGGCACCGGAGGTCCGCGGTCCCGCGAGCTGCCCAGATGCACCAGCCCCAGAGCAGCTCCCCGGGATGGCGACTGACCTCAGGAGGGACAGGAGACCAGGGGCACCTGGTCATCTCCTGCCGAGCAGGGTGCGTTCTGGGTGTGGGTTGGGCTGGTCCTTCCCCTGCACCAACGGGGCGCCCAGCAAGACTTTCCAGAACAGCGGCATCAGCATCCCAGGCCTCCTGTCCACTTGGCTATCAGGAGCAGCTGCTCTGGGCTAACGCGGGCCGGCTGGGCTCTGGGAATGCCACGGCGTAGACACCGGTGGGGGCGGGGTGTCCCGTGGGGTCGCGCCCTCCTGTCCTCACTGCCTGGACATCACAGCGCCTGTGCCCAGACCTAGGGATGCCACGGGTACTGCGGCGGGGGGAGGGGGGGTGAAGCGCGGAGTGCTCGAGGCGAGTGGGACGCAGGGCGCTGGGTGAGCGGGGCGCTGGGCGCGCGGGGTACAGGGTGCTCAGGCGCTGGGCGCGCGGGGCACAGGCAGGGTGCTCGAGCTCAGGGTGCCGGAGCGCAGGGCGTGGGGAGAAGGGTGAGCCCCGGTCCCGCCCCGCCCCGCCCCGCCCCGCCCTGCCCCGCCCCGCGGTGCCGCCTTTGCCCAACTCCATCGCGTCCCGCCCGCCGCGACCCGCCGGCGCCCCGTGCTCGGCTAGACTCCGTCTGCGGGCTCGGGGTCCCGGGCTCCCCTGGGACCCCCGCCGCGATGTCCTTCCGAAGAGGTAGGCGGGGCGCCGGGCGGCAGGGGCGGGCGGGTCTGTGCGGGGCGCGCGCTGGGCGGCGGCGCTTCCAGGGCCGGGGGCGCCGGGGGCGGGGGAGATGGGCTCGGCAGGGCAGGGCGCCCCGCCCCGCCCCGCCCCGCCCCGCGCCGCCCCCTGCTGTGCCCACCCGCCTCCCTGCCGGTCCCGCACACTTGCCCCCCCGCGCCGCCCCTCTGGGGGTCCCGCGCACGGGATGGGGTCCCGGGAGGTCGCCCCGCCTTGTCCCCCTCCCGAGCCTCAGTTCCTCCATGGGCGCAGTGAGCCCTCCGCGGGGCCCCTCAGGCCCTTCCGGGACGCCCACCCAGTGCGGGCCCGCGGGGAGGGTCGCGCGCCCCGCGCCCCTCCTGTCGGGGGTCCCCGAGGCGAGCCCGGGGAACGGAAGGGGCGCTGCCCGCGGGAGGACGCTCAGTTTCACTTTCTCTCCCAGCTGTCACTCGTTTCATTTTCTTATTCTCTTCATTCCTGTGCGGTGCTGCGTGGACCCGCCCGCCGGCCATGGGCAAGGCAAGTGCCGGCCACTCACTACCCTCCCCTCCCTGCGGACACCGCGGCCCGCCGCCCGCCGAGGCCTCCTGGGCTCAAGGCCAACAGGGGACCCGGAAGCTGGCCTGGGGGCCGGGCGGGGCCGGGCGGGCGGGCGGTTGGGCGGGGCTCCTGGTGATTCAGTGTCACGGGCAGGTAAGGCTGGTGCCCGCTTCCCCCTAACCTTTGTGCCTTTAGCCAGCTGCCTGGGGCAGGCCAGCAGGGGCTCTAGGGCAGCAGCAGGGAAGTCAGGGCTCCCCAGGAGGAAGGGGCTGCTCAGAACAGGAACCTGAAGACTAGTGTGGCCCATGATCACTCCAGCTCTCCCACCCCCACCTATCCTAGGACCTGCTATTTTGCCCATCCTGCTGTCACCCATGCAACCCCTGAAGCCTCTCCTAGGAGCAGCCAAGAAGCTCGGACACCCAGGGGCTCCCGGTGGGCTTGTCCCGAGCAGCCCACCAGGCTGAGCATGCTTGCCTTCTGGTTGCCGCCCCAGGCCCCTGCACGGGGTGTTGTGGAAGCAGCCCTACAGCTGCCCTAGCAGTGGGCCCCTGGCCTTGCTGGGGGTTCCTGAAGGCTGATGGGTCCTAGAAGCTCTATGTGAGGGCACCTCGCTCCATCGCGGGACAGCCCCGGTGGGGGCACTTGGGGGTACTTCCTTTCAGATTTCAGGCACTCAGACCATCTTAATGAGTAGCTCTTCCAAGCGAGTGATAAGATCAGGAAGTGAAACTGCTCTGTACTTGCCTGTCAGGAGAGGAGCAACCAGAAGGGTCTCCCTGGCCCACAATGCCCATCCCCGGGGCGCGTGTCAGCCGGTCAGGCCTGGAAGGAAGTGCAGGTGGGAATGCTGAGAAGGGGGTGTCTGTGGAGGGGTGTGGGGTACAGGAAAAGCACAGAGGGGAGCGAGAACGCCAGGTATGGAGCTGGAGGTCAGGGACCCCGTCTACAGACAGAAAATTGGGAGAACCCCTCCCCACTAAGGCTCCTATCTCCCTCTGACCTTAAGGTTTTGGCTTTTGGTGGCCAGCTGACCAGGGGCCCTTGGGATCGGATCTACACCAGTGGATCCTAATCCTGAGGGTGGAGCTGGTGGTCAGAAGTAACCAGTCCAGGATCGTTGGCCCTAAAGCAGTTGGGTTGGAGTGACTGAATTTTACATCATCCATCCGTCCTCACACCCACCCTTCTGTCCTTCCATCCTCGTTCATCCTTCTGTGTGTCCTTTCATTCATCTTTCCACCCACCTGCCAACCATCCGTCCATCCAGCCCATCATCTGTCCACCGTCCCATCATCCATCCATCCATCCACTGTCTGCCCTCGGCCTCCAGATGCCCTTGCTCCGCCAGGCGTGAGGGTGCGAGGTGAATAGAGATGATCCCGCTTGAGCTGAGGCCTCGCAGTTTATTATCAGGCAGGCGCCAGCCTTGAGCACAGAATGGACAATGAGGCTGCGGTTGGTCTGGGTGGCACCTGGTGGCGTTTCCCATCTGGCCTCCATGTGACCAGCTGTCTGGACAGGTCAGTGTCAGGCAGATGGCGGCCTCCTGGAGCTGAGTTGGGGCAGTACTGCTGGAAGACGCAGCTTTGGAGCTGAGAGACAGCTTTCCTCTGGAGAGAGGGAAAAAAGTTCAGGAGAACAGAAGGGCAGGAGAGCCTGAGGAGGCGGCCAGGAGGAGGCCGCGATGGGCTGTGGTATCCCCGGGAGGAGGCCGCAATGGGCTGGGGTGTCCCTGGGAGGAGGTCACCATGGGCTGGGGTGTTCTCTGATCAAACACAGGGTCAGGATCGCTGCCAACAGCCCTGGGCAAGGCCTCGGAGGGGGGGGTCTTCAGAGTTGGGAGCAACCCCAGGGCCATGTCTTCCACCCAGAGCTCCGCCAGGCCAGCAGGGATGTGCCTGAAAACAGGTCCAGTAGGAAACTGGCCTCTCCTGTGCCCGGCGGCCCACCCCTGAACCCCAGCCTCCCTGACCGGGCCCAGGTGTGCCCAGGCGGCCTTCCAGAGAAGCCCACAACCAGCCACCTTCCAGGACCACAGTTCTTTGGGGACATTTGGGCAGCCTAGCAGGGACACTCTCACACTGGGGTGCAGGGGGGCATCATGGAAAAGGAAGTGCTGCCTCGGGAACCAGCCAGGCCCGCAAACTCGCCTCCTGGTGGGTACGAGAGAGAATGCTGAGGCAGGAGTCACGGGGCCCTGGGCAGGGACTGAGACTCAAGGAGAGAGCTGTGTGCTCTCTCAGGAGTTGTGGAGGTGCAAAGGTCCTGGGGCACAGAGACTGCGTGTGGCGGGGCCTAGGAGGGTCTGCTTGCTGAGAAGGGGCTAGAGGATGGCGTGGGCACCCCTCATGCACCTCTGAGGGTGTCATTATGTCATAGACTAAGCCCCTCCCTCCAGAGAACAGAGCTGGATGTGGGGTGAACGACCGGGGAGGGGGGGGTGCCGGAGCAGAGGAGGCTGGTAGGGGGGCTCTGGAGGAGAGAGAGGCAGCGCTGGCCTCAGGGGGGGCTGGGGCCACCCCCCAAATGCTTTTCCGAGTGGTTGCAGGACCCAAGAGCAGCTGGGCACGTGGGCCGGGAGACGGGCTGAGCCAGTGGCCCTCTGTGCTGCCTTTCTGGGTCTGTCCATAGCTCAGCCAGCAGCCTCCAGGTCAGCGCCCTGGTGCCCTTCCTTAGGAAGAAATGGCTCTGGCCTCAAGGCTGGTGAGCCCTACCAGCCAGAAGGGGTTCCTGAACTTGGCATGGGGAAAGTGGGGTGCGGAGGGGAGGGCTGGCAGGATCCCTGCTCCTTAGGATTGAGCTCAGACCCACACGGGAGCCTCCTGGGCCAGCCCCGTGCAGCCCCCTACTGACCAGCTGACCCCAGACCCCTGGGTTGCCCCCTGGATTTCCCATGCTGGTCTTCAGATGGTCCCAAGACCAGCGGCCTTCTGCCAACCCTGAGCCACGAACGGGCCCCATGACACCCACGGGTCTCGGCCCTGTAGACTTAGGGGTGCTTTGTTCACAACTGGGTGGCAGGAAGGAAGGGTGCGTGCTGGTTCCAGTCCTGGGCTACAGGCTTGAGACCTGAACAGGAGTTTCCAAGTGCTATGCCCGTGGGCACCTCAGAGAATCCTGAGGAAGGGCAGAGGAG